TTAAAAGTACCATATAGGGAGGGCCTGGTGTGATAGTCTACCTCCTTAATCCTAGTACTCAGGAGTAGAGGCAGGCAGATGTCTGTGAGTTCAAAGCCAGCCTAGTCTTCAGAGTGAGTTTAGGTCAGCCAGGACTACTCAGAACTACAGAGGTCAGCCAGACTACACATTTTTATTGTTTGTTAGCTTGTTTGCTTGCTTTGAGGCAGGGTTTCCCCGTGTAGCGCTAGCTGTCCTGGAACTCTGTAGATCGGGCTGTCCTGGAACTCAAAGATCCAACTCCTCTGCCTGAGTGCTAGGACTAAAGGCATGCACCACCACACCTGGCAGAAGTTCTGCACACTATCATATAAGGCTAGTGCATGGCTCTAGTGCTAGTGCATGAGGAAGGTGCAGGGTTTGCTCCCCAGAACTGAAAAAAAAAAAGTAAATAAAATGAAAATAAATCTTGTTGGGCAGTGGTGGCACACACTTTTAATCCCAGCACCCAGGAGGCAGAGGCAGGTGGATCTCTGCGAGTTTGAGGCCAGCCTGGTCTACAGAGTGAGTTCCAGGACATCCAGACATCCAGAACTGTTTCACAGAGCACCATGTCTCAAAAAAAAAAAAAAAAAAAAAGCTGGGTGGTGGTGGCACAGGACTTTAATCCCAGCACTTGGGAGGCAGAGGCAGGTGGATCTCTGTGAGTCCAAGGCTAGCCTGGTCTACACAGTGAGTGCCAGGACAGGCTCCACAGCTATAGAGAAACCCTATCTCAAAAAAAAAAAAAAAGAAAGAAAGAAAGGAAGGAAGGAAGGAAGGAAGGAAGAGGGAGGGAGAGAGAGAGAGAGAGTACATGAAAGGTACATGAAAGAAAGAAAGAAAGAAAGAAAGAAAGAAAGAAAGAAAGAAAGAAAGAAAGTCTTATCCATGGACACTCTGAACACCTCTGTGTGTGAGCTGCTGGCATTTCAGGCTGTATCTATTCACCTGTACCTGGCTTTTGTCAGTGTCTGCACTCCACATACAATCTAAAACCCAACTCAAGGAAATTTAATTGCCACCCTATGTCCTTCAAGCTCGCTCTTCAACTTCAAGGAGCTCCCTCTCCACTCTTAATCTCTATTGCCTCCAAATCCACGAGCTTCCACCCATCTTCATTTCCTTCCCTATTAAACGTGGTCTCACTCACCAAGTCGTCCTCTCAACTATACTGAAACTTATTTCCCCGTCCCCCTCAACTGTACCAGACTACAGAGCAAACTCTTATGCCATCAAATTCACCTGTCTTTTCTGTTCCTGTAACTAAAAATGGCTTGTTGAGACAGATCAATGCTTCAACTGGGGCACCAGAGATTCATCGTTTCACAAATAATCTGAATTTCCAAGACTTTAACTCTTCAAGTTCCCTAACTCTACCATCATTTTTCTTTCCTTTAAATGAACAATTTCTTCCTGTACTCAGAGAACTTAGAAGTCTGGAAAAAACAAACAAACAAACAAACAAACAAAAAACCCCACTAAGTTCTTTACCCCATCTACCCAGCTAACTTACCGATCTTTAACTCCTCCCTCTAGGCTCAGAATGAGTTGGTTTCATTCCTATTCGGCACAAGTGCTCTAAACCCACACCTGCCTCATCTAGCCTGCAAAAATTAAACTCCAAATTCATTCAGCCATACACACGCTACACTCTAACCACAGTACACTTCTTATCCTGAGCTTTCTGACTTCCAAATGCTAGTATCCTTGTGAAGTTTTTGTGATCTTGAGAGGTACATAACATGCATGGAGTTTAGAGAAGTTCCCAGAAAAAAAGCTGCACCTACATTCAACAGTCTAAAAGGCTCACTGACTGATTAACTCCAATGGTTATGGAAAGTTGGAATGTGGAAAAGTCCAGAGCTAAATTATCTTTGGCTATCTTACCCCTTTAAATAGAACCACTTATTGCCCACTTCTGTGTATGACCATTAGGTAAATACTTTTTGAAACAAACACTTAGCATCCACCAGCCCAAAAGCTTAGAATGTCATCAGGAACTCTGAGGCCTGTAACCTGCCCATGTGATATCATCACTGATATATTTTAAAAGTGTCTTGACTTAGGATTCTTTGTTTCATTTCTATAAAAATTTAATGAGCCAGGCAGTGGTGGCCCATGCCACACTCAAGGAAGCACAGGCAGGTGGATCTCTCTGAGTTTGAGGCCAGCCTGGTCTTCAGATTGAGTTCCACGACAACCAGAGCTGCACAGATAAACCCTATCTCGGAAAGAAAAACAAACAAACAAACAAAACCAAAAAAACCTTAATGAAATTATTACCACATTGGAACATGGAATTAGAGGTAACTTGAATATACATTCCTGGGCCATGGTAACTCATAATCCACTCAAGAGTAAACTACGACATTCCTTTTAAGATAAGAGCTGTATTTTTTATCATTGACAGTAATTATTAAATATGCATAGTGGTTATTAATTCTTAACAGTTTAAGCCTCTTTTACTCTGAGAATTAGGAGACAAGGAAGGGGAAAGACTACCAGTATAGAGCCAAGGAGAAAATGTGTTCCAAACATCTCTGAATAGAAACAGCTGCTCTGTGAGTTGAGCCTGACTACATCAAATTTTTTTTGCTATTTGAATTGTCTAAAATCTGGAACTAACAGTATCCAAGAGGAAGATTTCATCTGAGTTGAAATCAGCAAGAAAAACGAATAAGTCTACCTTCTATTGATTTAGAATAAGTATTTAAAATGAATTCTAACAATGTAGAGCCATGGGTAGTGTTAAACAAAAGAATACAATTTGGGGAGCTCTATAACTGGAATAAGAGTGTAGGGCAGACCCCCGAGGCACTTTGAGCAAGCCTGAAGCTGTTGGCTAGAACATCTTGCACCAGGGTAGTTCTTGGTTCTCTTCTTGATTTGTTAACACACATCTGCTGGGGAGGAACTAAGCCCGAGAACTTGCACGCTTGACCCTTTACTGTTTTCCACTGTGCTGTGAGTCAGTATATAAGCCTGCTCCTTCCCCTCAATAAACGACATTCAGCATTCCAGCATTCCTGTCGCACGAATGACCCACTGTCTTGTCTTTTATTTAAATCTCTAGGCCTTCGCCCGATTAATGGAACAGATTGTAGCGTGGGTGCTACATAGGAGAACTTTAGGGTGAGAGCCTGGGCTAGGGATGGGCTCGTGTCAAAAGGGACAGGGACTGATTTGAAGGGGCTCCCACTAGCCAAGTCAGGGAAAAGCAACACAATGACAGCAATGGATCCTATCTAATACAGAGAGAGTACCGAAAGAGCCCTCATGTCTACACTGATGACTAAAAAAATAACAAACAACATAGAAGGAAGAAATATTTCATACAGTGTAACACCAGTTACTAGAAAAGAACTGAATAATGACAAAAGTGACTCTGCACTTGCAGAAAGGAGGGATCATTTCCATAATGCTAAAACCCCTGAGTAAAAGGTGAACGATACACGATGTCAGCATGACCTTGGCCGTTACCTCACAGATGATTTATTAACCTCAAGGGGGAAATGTGCCTCAACAACAGAGAGCTCCTGCAATTGCTCTCTTAATCAAGGGATCAAACAGAAGCAGAGACTGGGGCGTGGAGCTTAGTGGTAGGGTATTTACCTAGCATGTGTGCATGAGACCCTGTTTCTATCTCCAGTGTCACAAAAGCAATCTCAAATAAATGAGCATCAGCACCTAAGTAACAGTAAGTTGTTGAGTGTCACACTAAGAAGCATATGACATGTAGCACATTCAAAGGCACAAAACTAATGAAGACAAAACAGACAGCCTACACAGTCTTACTAACAAAGGCCAGACTTAGACCCTCATTCCAGACAGCTCGTTTAGGGTTTGCATTTTAAGATCTTCTGATGATTCACAGATATAAGATTTGAGAAACCATACATGGACTTAATCATCTACAGATGATCTAATCACATAGAAAAGCAACAGTGAATGAGCTCAGTAGGTTTATTTGTACATACATACGTACAGATATATAACAATAATCATTTTTTTAAAGATGCATTTTTATGTGTATGAGCATCTTGCCTACATGTGTGTATGTGTTCTCTGTGTGCCAGGTGCTGGTGGAGGCCAGAAGAGGGCACCAAGAACACAAGTTATGGGCAGTGGTAAGAGACCATATGGGTGCTGGGAACTAAGCTGAGGTCCTCTGCAAGGACCATAACAACAATAATTAAAGATGATGAGGCCATAAACTTGAGGGGGGTACCAGAGGAAATGGAGGGGGTGAAGGTGGGGGACACTAGAGAGATGGCTCAGAGGTTTAAAGCACTTGTTCTTGCAGTGGATCCCAGTTCAGTTTTCAGCGCTCACATGGTGACTTGGAGCCATCTGTAACTCCAGCTCCAGGGGTCTGATGCCTTTTCTGTTTTCCATGGGCACTAGGCACACATATGGTGCACATACATACATGGAGGCTAAACTGATATGAGATGTCCTTCTGTATACTGAGAATATATGTTAGTAGTAATTGATGGATAAAGCTGTGTTGGCCTATGGCGGGGCAGAATATAGGAAGGTGGGAAATCCAAGCAGAGATACAGGGAGAAAGAAGACAGAGTCAAGGAGACGCCATGTAACTGCAGGAGGAGTAAGATTGCAGAGCACTACCGGTAAGCCAAAGCCATGTGGCAATATTTAAATTAATAAAAATGGGTTAATTTAAATGTAAGAGCTAGTTAGTAATAAGCCTGAGCCACTGGCCAAACATTTATAATTAATATTAAGCCTCTGACTGATTATTTTATAAGAGGCTTTGGGTCTGGGTGGGACACATAAAAACTTCCAGTTACATTAAACATTCATACACATAAAATTAAATCTAAACCAAAACACTATAACAGAGACTGTATGACTCACAAAGCCCAAAATACTTGCCATTTGACCTTTACAAGAAAAAAATTGTTGGCCTCTGCTCTAGACAAGCAATCTAAGAATACAATAGAGCCTGTTAGACTCACCTGCGGGGTTGTCTTTTTATATTGGTCACCACCATCTATCACATCCCTCATGATTTTCTCCTTGAGAAATTCATATTCTTCTAGACTCAGATGAATAGACTCTAAGGCTCTACCACAGCTTGAACACTGGCCACTGTAATTGCAATGTTTTATATTAAATAATGTCTTAGAAAATAAGTTCTTCCTAAAATTAGTAATTCCAAAGCACAAAGAAACAGAAATATAATAAAAAAAAAATTAAAACTTCTGTAACCATCACATTTTTTTTTTTTTTTTTTTTTTTTTGGAACTAAAGCATTTTATGTATATGTATGCTTTCCACTCTTAGAAGAATCACAGGGGCTTCAAATACGGCTCAGGGGTAAAGGCACTTGCAGGCAAGCCTAACAACTTGATTTCAATCCCAGGGACAGGTATGATAGTTGTCCACTGACCATCACACAGAATAAAATGAAATTTAAAGTGGTTTTTGTCTTTGTTCATTTGTTTAAGAAAAAGAATCTTATAGGGTTTTCTTTCCTGCATATCTTTTGTCTTGTTTCTTTATGGTTCATGATGCCAACTGAGGCTGTTAACACAGAGAAAAAAAACTGATAGGATGGGAACAGAATATTCTGCTATTTTTTTCCTCCTTCAGATCTACCACATTCACTTAACCTGCCTGCAGGGTTCAGAGCAGTTTCCCCAGCTCTGTAATTGTCAGTGATGTCAAATTTGCCAATGTGACTGTGCTTCATCACAGCGAGAAACTCAAGCCCAGCCTAGTAAAGGCCTGTGTTCACCACGCTTTCCAGCACCGCCAATGTCCCGAGAGCATCAGCCAAGATAATTACATACACCATTATGGTGACAGGGAAAGTCAGCAGAAAAAGCTAGATGGAACTTTTAAAGTAATTCTTAAAACACAACTCCCTCAGCAGCAGTCTAGGGGCAAGCATCATTATGTTTACCACAAACTCACAGTATCAATGGGAACAACATTTCGAGTACTCCAAAATCTCTATCTACGTACCTGTAAATCCCAACACATAGAAGGTTAAGGCAGCAGGATTATTTTATGTTTGAATCCTGGGCTACAAGTCAAGACTCTCAAAACAACAACAGATGGTTTTTCCCCCTCAGGAACTTTAATTATAAATTCTCTATTATATAAGGTGTTCTTAAATATTTTTTTTTAATTACTAGAAGCTTGTCTCCACTCTGGATTTATTTTTAATTAGGTGTTTGTGAGTGTGTGAGTGTGAGTGAGTGTGTGTGTGTGTGTGTGTGTGTGTGTGTGTGTGTGTGTGTGTGTGCACATGCAGGCACATGCCTGAAGAGGGCAGAAGATCCCCTGGAACTAGAACTACAGGCAGTTGTGATCCACCAGATGTGAGTGCTGAGAACTGAACCAGATCCTATGGAAGAACAGGAAGAGCTCTTAGCTACTGAGCCATCTCTCCAGCCTTTCTTATTTTTAAGCTAATACCAACGGAATTTATTATATCCGAATCAAATATATTGAAGACAAATAATGGTCTTTACCTTTTCTGAACTGTAGTGAACTGTCCTTTCCACTGTCTTCCAGGAATACTACAAAAACAAAAACAAACAAACAAACAAAATTATAAACCCGGATTATCAGAAAGTTAAAAATTCCTACTGAACCTAAAGACAGACAGTCACCACATTTAGACATTCTGTAAGAAAGAGCTCTGAGAAGTTCAGAATACTTCCCTAGGAGGGCTTTCACATTGCCTGCTAGGCTGTGGTTGGGGTTAAGGACCAGATAGCATTCTATTAGATCTACAGTATCCCTTTGGTTCATGTCCTAACATAACCCTCCTCTTCTTCAAGTCTTGTCTAAGGGTGAGCATGATGGCACATGCCTTTATTTCTAGCACTGGTGGGGGGTAGACTAGCCTGGTCTACACAGATAGCTCCAAAATAGCCTAGGCTACATAGACACCCTGTCTCAAACAAAACGACAACAAAAACTCAAGTCTCAATCTATGTTCACTAGAAGTATACAAAAGGTAGAGATAATATTTAAATCACACTCAGTTCTAAAGCTTCTAGACACGGTGCCTACTTGGAGTAATTTTTCTCTTGCACTGCTGTTAACCTCATGGACCACTGCCAGGAATGGCAGCTCAATAGATATTATGTCAGAAATACAATGGTTTTAGTGTAATTAGAGCCACCCAAAAATGTTACTGACTTACCCTCTCAATCACCAGACCCTTTCCTCTTATATAAACCACCATTACTTCCTATTGAGTCTTGATCCTATTGCCTTCTTCCCTTCACCAGTTAATTCAGGACCTCATGACCTCTCACCCAAATCTAAAATTACATTCAAACAAGCATCCCTGCTTTCAATTTTAATTCCTCTCCCATCAGTTCTTCTTGCTGTTTTGATACTTTTTTTTTTTTTTTCCCCTAAAACTCTATTCCAAAACCTGCATTCTTAAAAACAGAATAAACCCCAAACTCCAAGATTTTCACACTCTCACTCCTCTTCTTTGGACACTCAATAAATTTGTTAAGAACATCAGACAAGATGTCTACTTTAAAATAAACATGATATACAATAACAAGAGAAAAGAGAAGGAATGAACGGGATTTCAGGAAATGGCCTGAAATGGTCAAGAATGAGTGAAGAGATGAGAGTAAAAGGCTGAAACAATAAACAGCTACACAACTTATAACACGAGTCAAAGCAAAGGAGAGCTTGGGAGACCAGCCAGATAAGGAGACAGGCAAAATAAATTCGAGGAATGCTTTTCCATCTAAGGCTTGAGTATCAGGATAGATCAGGAACTGCCCATCTACTCTAATCATTCTCCGTAATTAAACACAGGGATCACAGGACAACTACAAGCACATTATTCCCATCACTACTTTTGAAAGTATGAATATGATCACTGGGTAAAGTGTTTGCTGCACAAGTAAGAACTGAGTCTGGATCCCTGGAACTCACCTGGCACAGCAGCCTGTACCTGTAATATAGGAGTGGAGACAGGCAGACCTCAGGTCTTGCTAATCAATTAGTCTAGACAAAATGCCAAACTCTAGGCCAGGCGGTGGTAACACACACCTTTAATCCCAGCATTTGGAAAGCAGGTGGATCTCTATGAGTTCAAGGTCAGCCTGGTCTACAGAGAGAGTTCCAGGACAGGCCCCAAAGCTTCATAGAAAAACCCCCGTCTTAAAAAGCCAAAACAAACAAATACTAAGCTCTAATATGAGACTGTCTTAAAAGTAATGTCGGCTTTGAAAAAAGATAACCAATGTCAGACTCTGTTCCTCACACCTTCGAATATGTGTCTGCATACAAGTGTGCATACCACCCCCACACACAAACCTAAACTCATTATTCATGTTAGATGTCTCAGAAAATAAAATAAAATAATGGATCATTCTAAAAGGAAGAAATCTATTATATAAAAACAAACGGTGCTGTATAAATTCCTTTTACGTGACCAGTAGAGACTAAAACAAATTATTCCTACTTAAGAGAATTATTTTGGGGGCTGGAGCAATGGCTCAGCAGCTGGGAGCACTGGCTGCTCTTCAGAGGACCTGGGTTCAGTTCCCAGCACCCACATGACAGCTCACAACTGTCTGTAACTCCAGTCCCAGGGGATCCGACACCCTCACATAAAATAAAGTTAAATAAGTTATTTTTTTTAAAAAGCACAATCTGAATGAGTCTCGGCAGCTAAAAAAGAACACAGAAAAGGGTCCATTTTTAAAATACAGGTACGGAGATAAAAACACATACACAAATCAAAGTTACCTTTCAAACCATGTCTTTATACTGTGTGCAAATGACTCTCCAGGGTACAGCTGATTATTCCTTAGATACAAAAGTATGTCCAGCAGTTTGTTCGAATAGTGATCATCATTTATGTCTTGGCCAAAATCAAAGAAGGCCTTCAAAGTTTCCAACAGAGGGGTGAGATTATGACCTATCAATTCCTGATACAAACTCCAAGCCATGTTCACATCTTGATGAAAGAGGGCTCCCTGTATACAGTCGCCATAGTTCCTTTTTGAAGGGATCATGACTTTCTTCATGTCTTCTAACAGCAGCAAGGCTTCTCTCCATCTGTCTGAGTGGATCAGACCCCGGATGAGAATGCTGCTAGCCCCAGTTTCTAAACATTTGTACTTGGCTTTCATGATTTCATAGACATCAATAACTTCTGATGTTTCCTTATGAAAGACACAGAGATACAAATACTTGACAAGTAAATTATACCCTACAATTCCATTGTTCTTTGCTGCTACCCATGCCAGGAGAGACTTAGCTACATCTACAGAACTACAGCTGTGAACCATCTGTGAAATGACCCCTTCTTCAAAACTGGCCTTCCCGTTGAAATCATCTTTAAGTTTATCCCACTCTTCGGAGTTCAAGGGTTTAGTTGGAAGTTCAATAGTGCTTCTCACACGTGGCATGGCATGATCTCTCTGCTGAGGGTTATTATTTAAGTATGACCTCATCTTGGCTGCTCCAGCAGCAAAATAATGATCAGAAGAAATTTGCCTATCGCTGTCATTTTCTTTCTTGAGTGTTCTAGCCTTGGCAACCAGGAGGTTCGTTGATTTGCTATTTGGAGGGGACGTGGTTTTAACAGAAAACCATCTGTGTTGGTTCCTGGTAACCATGAGAAAGAAAGAGACAGGAAAGGTCGCAGGGACCACCAGCTCAAAGTAAGGGGTGCTCGTCCAAAGTTTTGGGAAGTTCCGAAAACCTGACAAACAGGTCATTCTGCAGTGAGATGAATGAGGGTTAAAAACAAAACAGCTCTACTCTGCGATGGAAAATTAAGAGATTCGAGGTTGGCAATAGCTGAAGCCGCAATTCTTGAAAAGGAGACCTTTTGTTTTTCCCTTACAAACACATCAAGATTATGCTTTAGGAGTGATTTAATGGCGAGGAAAGCTAACAGAGCTCTCCATTAACCAGTGATCCCGGGATCTCTCCAACACCAGTAGCAATCCCTAAACCAGAAGACGGACGGGGAATCCTGAGGCGTCTATTAATTCCAGTTTTCGAATCGGAGGAAAAAGCACAAAAAGGACTTCCTAGTTTGACTCCTGTGGATCACAACGGTCCTGAAGAAGGGCAAGATACCAAGGGAATTAGAAATAAAGTAATAAACTTGACCAGGAGCCACCAACCGCAACCCCACCGGCAAGTAAGAAAAAGTCTAGGATCCTTTGCTCTTTACACTTTCTCCAGGCCCTAAATCGCTTGGGAGAAGAGGGATCAACCAGACGCAGCATAAATACCACTGGGAAGGGTGTGAAGTCCAGAAAGGGCTTAGACTTAACTGTACGGATGGCCGACAAACGAAGATCACTTCATTCAACAACTCACCATGTCAGGCATGCTTAAAAGTAACCATAAATGCGGTGAAAACTACAGTACCCACAAGGCACCGCGCCGAATCAGTCGCCAGGGCCTGAATGGCTTGATTGAAGGCTCTTTATTGCACCTGACGAAGATAAACAGAAAAAGAAAGGTAATTTTGAATCTTTTAGTATCTAAGAGGGCTGGAGGCGGCTACGGAAGCTTCTGTTATATCTTGGAGACTCTTAAGGCTCCAGGGTGAGAACAAGATGTGACGAAAGTGCTTTTCTCAGGTCGGAAAAGATAATGGATTCCCTCATCCTGTGATGCGCACGCGCCAAAGGCCCACAGCCAAACAAACGCTCACGCAGGTTTCTTCCTGGCCTTTAAAATCAGGTTTGGTGAGCTGGGATACTTCCATGAAAAGGATAATTTCTCCCCCCACCTATTTCTTGTCTGCTTTCCGTCCCTGCTAGTGTTATCGCCGCATCCGGAATATATACAGCAGTCGGGTTTTGCTTCCGCCCGCGTCCAAGATGGCGTCCAGGCGTCCTGCCTAATTTCCTCCCGCCTCGGTGGCGTCCGACGTCGGAGCTGGCAGTGGGTGGAGCGGTTAACAACCCGCAAATGCAGGGTCCTCTGAGCCTGAGTCAGCCATGGACTGGAAGGACGTGCTCCGCCGGCGTTTGGCGTCGCCCAGCACGGATCCAAAGAGTGAGTCCGGGAGGGACCGCCCGCCAGATAGCCCGCCCCAGTCTAGAAGTGGCGGAGGGATGAATGGGCAGGAGGAGGGGGAAGTGCGAGTGATACTTTCCGCGTCTGGTAAACTTAATCTGACAAAGTCTGAGCGGAGTGTGCTTTAGCGATCCGCCGAAGAGTGACCCCAACTTCCCTGGTGAATGACCTACAAGGAACGAAAAGCGGAACCGGGGCACCCGTTTTCCACGACCTTAGGCTTATGAGGAATAACTGAGAAGCTTGGTTCCCTTCCATCTTACCAAGACTGACGATAATTTATCCTTATAGCTTCCCACCCGCTTTGAGACAAAGTGTTACCTTGTAGTCCAGGCCAGTCTTGACTTAACTGACCCTCCTTGCCTCAGTTTCCCTAGTGCCTGCAGCCTTTTAACTCTCACTTTTCACTTAACCCTCCATTTTAAATTTCATTAATACGTTTTACATTGTTCGTCACCCGGACCTTCACACTTGCTTGCCAAATCAATCTGGTTAAATTATTCCACTTCGACACCAACACCCAGGCCGCTGGAATGCGCTAAAGAAAAATATTGCTGGGCTAGAGAGATGTCTCAGCCATTAAAGGCTAGGCTCACAACCAAAAAGAAAAACAACCGTGGCCAGAGTTCTCCTTTAGAATTCACGTCCACTAAGCTAACGGGTGTGTTTTAGTCGCATCTGCAAGATGCGACTTCCACACTTAATTCCTCTCATCTTCCCTTGTCTCCAGTCTGCCTTCTCCAATCGATAACTGGTTTAAAAAAATAAATGTATATAGTATATATACATTTATACAATGTATACAATATATGTATACATGTATATAATATGTATATACGCATAAATACATTATGTATATGTATATATACATATATTCATTAAAGAGGGATTAGAAGCTCTTTTCAATTACCATTTCTCTCAGGTGTTAGGTATTTATCCTTACACCCACTTTTAATTTGAATTGTCACCTTAAAATTGTCATCAGGCAGTGTGGCACAGGCCTTTAATTGGGAGGCAGAGGCAGGTGGATCTCTAAGTTTGAGAGCAGCCTGGACTACAGACAAAGTTCTGGAACAGCCAAGGCTGCACAGAGAAACACTGCCTCTAGAAAAAAAAGAGAATAGTCTGTACTATTCAGTGGCTTCTCTTCAATTTTATTCTCTCTGTCTCATACATTAGTAACTTTTCCTTTTCTCCTAGATCATTTCCATTACCACTAACAAACATGTTGCAATAGCCTGCATGCATGGAAGTGCACCATGTTTATGTGGTGCCTCATGATGAAAATGAGGACACAACCTCTCCTAGTTATTGTTGCGGAGAGGGTTTTATTGTAGATATGAGAGTTTGTCCAGAGGCCTCTGGAAGGCTCTAGACTGAATATGGCCAGCAGAATAGACTGCAAGAGAGAAAAAAACAAACAAAAACAACTTTCAACTTTCTTGTATGAATTTCCTACTTCTACCTATGCTTTATTTTTGTTTCCTTTATAGCAACATTTAAAAACTTTATGGTTAAAACTACTAGTTTCTTATTCCTGTTTGTGAAAAATAATTAGTGACCTCTTGATGGCACTAAATTCATTGGTCCTTTGCTTTTATATTTTCTTTCTTTTTTTTTAAAGAATAAACATTTAAAAAAATTATTTATGTGCATTGGTGTAAGGGTGTCCCATTCCCTGCAACTGGAGTTATATATAGACAGTTGTTAGCCACCATGTGGGTGCTGGGAACTGAACCTGGGTCCTCTGGAAGAAAAGCCAGTGCTCTTAACCGATGAGCCATTGCTCCAGCCCCTCATTAGTCCTTTTCAGTTCCTGTTTTATTTGCAAAATTTTGCAGTTTTCTCCAATAGTGCCAAGCCATACTAAAAAAAACTGTTAAAGGTTGCAAGTTAACATGACAGGCACAAGAAATACTATGGGAAGCAAAGTGCTGAAGACTCCCTTCCTAGTGCCACCTTTGTAAGATAATAAACAGAAACGTTTTGAGAAATTAGATGGTAGACTTGAAGAGCCCAGTGAGGCTGGAGGCAAGCTTCAATGCTAAATATAAGTATAGGGAACACACTAAGTCTCATTGTGCTGGACAGTTTAGTGGTTGAGGTAAGGAAGGCTATTTCAATGGAAGGCAGTATTTCAAGTTAGTACATTTGCTATCTAAACACAGTATTGAAGGCCTTTTTGCCACCACAGATGTTAACTAGACTTTAATGTATAGGCTATCCTGAGTAAAAATAATATTTGATGTTTGTGCTTTTCCTGTCTTGTTACTAGGGAAAAAAAGTGAACAAGAATTAAAAGATGAAGAAATGGATTTATTTACCAAATACTACTCAGAATGGAAAGGAGGTAGAAAAAGCACAAATGAATTCTATAAGACCATTCCCCGGTTTTATTACAGGGTAAGTGTTGTCTAAGTGGATATTTCTGAATCTGTAAATGAAATGTAATTTCAAAAGTGTGATTCAAAGCATGCATTATACAATTTTTTTTTTTTTTTTTTGAGATAGGGTTTCTCAGTGTAGCCCTGGACATCCTGAACTAGCTATATAGACCAGGCTGGTCTTGAGCTCAGAGATCTGCCTGCATCTACATCCTGAGTATTGGGATTAAAGGCATGCATTACCATCTCCCTGCCTGAAGCATATATTTTTAAAATAGAGGATTACATTGAACATTTTGTATATTTTATTACAGTTGATTTATCACTGTGATAAAATACTTTGAAATCATTAAAATCTTGTACCAGTAAGTTGGTACAAGAAGGCAAAGTTGTTACTTCCCTTTTTTGAGCCATAGGCTCTTTTTATTATAGGTATTAGTAGTAAGTATACTACTCAGTGATGTCGTCTCAGCAGGCATGCTGGCTTTACCCAGACTGCTAAACTAGTCCTGTTTAATTTGATATTGACATAAGGTGACTTTTCCAATGTGCTTTTAGTTGCCAGCAGAAGATGAAGTCTTATTACAGAAATTAAGAGAGGAATCTAGAGCCGTCTTTCTACAGAGGAAAAGCAGAGAACTCTTAGATAATGAAGAATTACAGGTATGAATAGAGCCAAGTGGCTTTAGCTATTATCCATTTCTTTCTTGTACTTAAGTTGTGCAGAAGTTTGTTATATCTCTTTGAATTATTAACGTAGAGTAGTACGCCATAGGTTTCTGGAGCAGGGTGTGTTCCTGTGTGCCAGAATCAGCTGCTGAACTTGCATGGCCTGATTTCCAAGCATAGTGCTCTTGAGGTTTTATTTATTAAGTTCCCACATAATCCTAATGAGTTGTCAAGGTTTGGAAAACACTACAGTATCATCCTCTGCAGAAGTTCAAATCCTGGCCCCCTCCCATGGTGTGACTTTAGGCAATAGACTTGATACCTTTATGCTTTAGTTTTCATGTGTAAAGTAGAGATAGCTGCCTGCATTACATAGTATAGGGATTAAAGAAGTAGTATATTTTGAAAGCATAAAACTTGAGTAGGCACAATAAGTGTCAGGTTTTTTTTATTAGTAGTAATCAAAATAATGGGGCATAAATTAATTTTAACTTTATTAGACAGAAATGATGCATTTCCATCCTTAAATCGCTGTTAACTTATAACACCTTCATTTCCCTAATTCTCTTAAGAACTTATGGTTTTTGCTGGATAAACACCAGATACCACCTATGATTGGAGAGGAAGCAATGATCAATTATGAAAATTTTTTGAAGGTTGGTGAAAAGGCTGGACCAAAGTGCAAGTAAGAATAATGTGATTTAAAGAGGAACATATTATGTTAGACATTTGTATTGCCTCCACTGTCAATGGAGTTGAAGTCAATGGTGTGATATTTGACTTACTGTGATAAAATTAGAGTCAAGAAAAAATTGGAGACTGGGGAGATTGGTCTGTTGGAGTCCCAGCAGTTGTATAGCTGGGTGCAGTAACATATGTGTGCAACTCCCAGTGTTGGTAAAACAGA